GTATACATCTGCTTTAGAATACATCTAATTCGGAATACGTCTTGTTTGGACGAAACAAATTTTGCTTGGTATACGACTTAATTCAATTATACTTGTCGTCTATGAACAAGTAGCATCGATAGTGCTACTTGTTCATAGACGGCATGTATAATTGAATGACCAGGCTAGATGTTCGCGGTGCCACAGTTTATAACTTTGTTAAATTTCTTCTGACTTTAATTTGTAAGTAAAATTTTATTATTTTTATTAATCATGAATTGCAAAAGGGTAAGTGAAAAGCAACAGAAAACTAAAAAAATGACTAGAATCACAATGGAACTGAAAAAAGAGATTGTTGAGGAATATGAAGGTGGTATGTGTGGTCGAGATTTAACTGTTGCATACCGTATTCCGAGAACGACGATATCGACAATCGCGAAAAATAATGACATTATTAAATCTGCTAATGTTGCGAAAGGAGTTAAATCAATTTTTAAACAGAGATCGAAGACATTAGATCATGTTGAGAAATTACTTTTGCTTTGGATAACTGAAAAACAGTGTGCTGGCGACATCGTATCGGAGGCAATTATTTGCGAGAAAGCTAAAAAGATACATGCTGATCTCATGAAAAACCAAGCATGAACTAGCCAGGGAAGCGAGGTGTTTAAAGCCAGCCATTTTTTTTCATGAGAACGGATTAATCATTTTTACATTACTTCTTATGGGTTTGGGTTGGTTTTCTTATGGGTTGGGTTGGGTTACTTATGGGTTGGTTTGGTATATGTCCTATTCGGTATAAGTCCAAACATTAGGAACAGATTAAGGTCGTATACTGAGGTTCCACTGTACTAATTTATATGAAAAATTATCTTGGAAACACAGGCGTTCATGCCTAGAGCTTATTGCTTGTACCACTGAGTTTGGCAGAAAACATCAGATGCTTGATTGTGATAGGTGGTTTCAGATCAATTGCAACTGTGGTGGTGAAAGTGTCTTGCTCACTTGCATTGCTCTATTGCATAGTCTTTCTCTTTCACTCTATTTCAGTTTGCATTGAGCTGAAAAAACTTGTAAACTTTTGTGATAAATTATCTAAATACCATATATCTGCGCAGATAAGATGACCTTCAGATAAGACAAAGTATAAATTTTTGTCAAAGTTTTATAGTTTTAGCATATATCTGTCCTATAAGACGATCCCCAAACTATCAACAGCCTATGAATTTAGTTTTTATCAGTGATCATTGCCTGGATAATAATACTGTACAGCGTATACAGAATTATGTCCTATTCATAATTTTTCGAATGAACAAATTTTATTTTCTTGCATCTGGAAGCACTGCCTTACTTAACAATTGTTGCAAACATTCGCACTGATTCGGGCATTCGGGTAATGACCTTGACTATTCACAAAAACGTCGTATGGGCTATTTAAATACATTAGTGAGTGATTTGTTTTATTTTATAATGGTTTTAACTTATATAAATTTCAATCTAATTTTTTTTGTATCTGTCCTATAAGACGACCCCAGATTTTGGGGGTCTTTTTTTGATTCAACTATCATCTTATCTGCACAGATATATGATAAATATTACAAGTACAATATTAACTATCAATTTGCCAAACAAAAAATATTTTAGGAAGCATTTCTATCGCGCTGATGTGAACCAGCTGAATCTCTCTGCTGTTTATCTTCCAATAGACAGTGCACATACTATTAGAGGATGCAGTCTATAACTTTTTCATCTTGCATCTGCACTGTTTATTAAAAAATACTGTATTTCCAAAAGTAAAAGAATTTCTGCAAGAAAAATATATATAAATTGTAACAAATTCATACTTAGAAAAAATTTTTTCTAACAATACACAGAAAGATTTTAATATAAATTATTTTGCTCATTGACACATTGCTAATATGATCTTAATTAAATCAAAAGGTTTTGGCATTTTTTTTGCAAAAATCAGCATTGTCAAAAGATTTAACTTTTTTTTTAAGTTAAGATATTTATGATTTTTGTGAACAGACATCAATAAATTTGAATATATGGTTAAAGAACATTGTTAATGATAATGATAATTAGCCTAACATTGATTCCGTTGCAGCTCTTAACTTTATTTTGATGCTATTTAAAAACTAAAAAATTTTGAAAGTTAGTTTGTGTTGCAAGACAATCAAAAGAATAAATTCTTATATTATCTAACACTGTTCTAAAAATATCCATTTGTTAAGAATAGAATTGGATAGAAAACCAGTAAGTCGTATAGAATGGTGTTATAAACTTAAAAAGATTAAAAGATTTTACAATTAGGCAGGTACACATTTTACTGATAATTAAAATTTTTTAATAAATATTATCATTAAAAAAATACTTATTTAAAAGTTTTAAGTAAATCACTTTAAAATATTAGATACTGTATTTTGAAAGCTTTGGATATAATTAATTAGATATTATAAAATTTTTTAGCCTGAGATAGAAAAGTTATAAATTTCTTTGATTTAATTATATATATTTTTTTTAATATGTGGAAGAAATGGAAGTTAGAATCAAGAAATTGCATTTATCTATACATAAAATAATTACTGTTGGTATTTGTCTTTGGCATTTTATTTGAAGATTTGGATTTTGTTTTGCGATTTTGGCAGGCTTTATTTCCTGAAACTTGCAGCTGAAGTATACATTTACACAGGTGTATTCAGCTTTTGTTGACACTTTCATAGGAAAATATTGTATAAAAAGTTATTTTATTTTCTTATACAAGTAAGAGAGATACAAGAAAGTCAAGAGACTTGTGGAAGAATTTTCTTGGTGTCTTTCTTCTATCCTATTGGAAAAACTTGTGTGTTATTCAAATTGCTTTTTTTCCTCGTTTATTTTTGTTGAATTTTTCTAAAATTAAACTGGGTGACTGAAAATATTTTCTAAAGGTTGACTCTTGTCTTCAAAATGAGTTTATATAAGCTTTTTTTAAAAGTTCTGAAATATTTTTCTACATGCATTTTTAACAATTTTCACTTTAATTAAATATAGTGTTAGCTAACATTTAGTGTTAGTGTGTGTGTGTGTGTGTGTGTAGTATGTATACCAGTTTTATTTATTGTCACAGCAACTACTATTTTAAACTGCATCTTTTTCTTTGCAGTTACTGTTTGGGGGCAGTTATTATTTGAATTAAACCCGTATGTATAAATGTGTTGTGTAGTCAAAAATAAACTAAACTTTTATTATACTAACAGTACAAATATTTACAGAGGTAATTTTTTACAGCCATGCAACTTTTGAATATATTAAATTGTGATTCTGAAGAACAAGCAATTACTTATTGTGACATTGTCACAATGCTGGGCTGCAATTTTTAATTAATTTAATTTAAAATATATGCTCTCCACCTTGAATTAGTAGTGGCTTGTCCCTGTGCATCATACTTTTTTTTAACAACAGTCATGCCAGTCATCTAACACCTTTCAGGGGAAAATTTTTGAATTGAAATTACATGACTTCTGGTTTGCATCAGAAGTTCTTATGTAGTTAATCAGGGTTTCCTGCCTTGAGGCTTCCATATCTGGTCTCATCTTTCATCTATCTAATTCACTTCTCAAGGTTAAGAAAAGACATATAGACAATAGTGGGAATTTATAGGTCTACAGTTCTTTCAAACTATAGCTCAATTATTCAGATTGGATGATTGCACTATGCTATCTAGTTATTATAGATAAAGTTAAATTGTAAATTATCTAGATAATTCTACATAAGAAATTTTTAGAGTGTATTAAAGTATGTGCCAGATAGTCTCATCATTTAAATTCATCAATAAATGTCAAGGGTGTAATACCATGTGCAACTATTCATGCAACAGATTTTGAATAAAATGTAATTAAGAAATTAGTGTTTGATGGCATATGAATTGTTTTGTCATCTGATTTAATGAGTAATTCATTTGCAGTGCCTATTAGTAGCTATTTAGACTCATATATGAGGTAAAGTGATTTATGCAATTTATATCTAAATTAATATTTGGCAAACTCAACACAAATTTAGAAAATAAATGTGTATTTTTAATAAAGCATGCAATTAAGATATTATAATATACATTTTTATTATGAATTTTCAACAAAGTTATGTCCGATAACTGAATAATGGACAAATGCAGTCACCTGCACTCCACGGACTCAGGATCAAATCTAGGTGTTGAATTCTGTGAATTTTTATGGGTGGTCTATCTCAGATTTGTTGGCTCCCATCCCTCACTGCTAAGCTGCCCAAGTCTGTGATGGGTCTGGAAAAAAGGCACTCTTAGTGCCCATGGGGGGAAATGGTTAAAAAAGAGATAAATAATTGAATAATTGATTTTGATAATAGTAATGAAACTATAGTTATGCTCTGGAATGGTTTGTTTTTTGTTTGGCAAACTGGTAGTCCCAAGTTCTCCAATTGAGTATTGTACTGACAGTGGGATTAGTGCAGACATCAATAGACATAATACATCAAGTAAAAGGTACTCTCCACTCAAGCCATCCGTCATTATGGTCTTCGAATTTATCTTTTATTGTTAATACAAATTATGTTTTTTAAATTACAGTCGATCCCCCTATAACACTGTTGATAATTCCATTTTATATGAATTCCATGTTGTACGAGTCACTTAGATTTTCAAATACGTGTGCCAGGCTGTGAACAGCTGACATATTTGTAAAATCTAAGTGACTCATACAACATGGAATTCATATAAAATGGAATTATCAACGGTGTTATAGGGGGGTCGACTGTATACTAATGCCAGGGGGACATTTTAGCAGCATTATATGTTTAGGTGAGGATGATTTATTTATTTATTATTTATTTGAAAAATTAAATGAAATCTGGATGAAAATTAATTTAAAATTAGAAGAATAAATTTCTCCAAAAAAATTTTACAGTATTCTAGTGGTATAAAAAGAATAAATGTGGCCTTAAGACATATTTGATTGTATAGTCTTCTAATTGTAGATATTTCAAATTATTAACTTTATTTTAACATTTCTGTTGAAATGATTGTGTTTATGCCATTTTTAATTAATATGCTTTATAAATTTAAACCAAAATAATTTTTATCATAGTGGATATCGAATCGGAGCGTAAACACATACTAGATTCTCCAGAATGGAGAGAAGACAGATGGCATTCGAAACCAAACAGGAAAAACAATAATGAAATGGAAGAAGTAATAATTAAACCAAGAAAGTAAGTTCATTTGTTACAACTTGTAAGTTACAATTTAAAATTGTTAATAAAACTTTATAAATTGCATTTAAATATTTATTTCTGTTCACTTATACCACACATTAAATTAAACATTTATTATGTTAATTTTGTTGTTAATTTAATCATGAATCTTGATACTTACATTTTCATTAAATTTTTTCATTTTATCTTTCTGAATTAGTAATAAATAATTACTTGCTTCTTAGTCAAAATCGTCAACACAGTCAGCCAGTTATACATGGTAAGTTAAAAGTGTTCATATATACTTCTATGCATTCAAAGCTTGAACTACTTAGAATAAGTAAGACAAAACCTTTCACACTTTATTTCTAGCAGTTTAATCATTAAGTACAAATGTTTTTGGTCATTTTGAATGGCCTTCTTCAGGTACAATAAGGTCGGTTGGAACATCGGTTAGCAGATATTCAGACGCCGTCACTGTTTACAAAGGTTTTTTTCTTACTAGTGACGTCATTGTTGATAATAAAGTTTAGACGATATCGACGTCATTAATTTTGATATTATTATCTAAGGTGTGCGAACGACTATTGATGAGATAATTGCTAAAACTGGAAGATAAAACGTTTGTTTTTCCCAATTTTATCTTCCAATTTTAGCAATTCTGAATATCTGCTAACCGACATTCCAACCGACCTTATTGTACCCAAAGAAGGCCATTCAAAATGGCTGAAAATATTTGTACTTAATGGTTAAACTGCTAGAAACAAAGTGTGAAAGGTTTTGTCTTTCTTACTTGTTCATATATACATACAAAAGGTTCACTTTATTAAGCAGTTGTATATGAACACCATTTAAGTAAATACACATGTGAATGCATTTATTTCCCACTTGTGGCAAGTGGGTATTAACACATCTGGAGTTATACTAGTAAGTACATCAGACATTTGCTCTTCAGTGGTCCAAGTCTTTGTTTCTACAAATAAAAAATTTTTAGTAATTTTATGACAATTTATTATTATCTCATATTTATAATGTGAAATGCATAAATGTTGTTGTAATATTGTAATATTTTGAAAATTTATTTGCAAAATTTTTAAAATTAGCAACAATTCAACAATCAGTTTTATATACATCTTCATAATAAAAAGATATATAATTCAAAAATTAAAAACAATTGTGAAAAATGTAAAGAGAAATAGACAGAAATTACAAAAAGCAAAAATTAATTGGTTGCAGTGCAAAAACAGTGCAAAAAGTACTGTGGCTGGCAACCAATTTTTCTGTTTTCTGGCAATTTTCTCCAACTTTCCTGGCAATTTACAGTGGTGTTGACCACCATAGGTGAAAGATGGGAATGATATTTCAATGTATATTATCTTTGATAGATTTTGGCTTAGATCCTTGCTATGGTAGACAAATAGGTTACCATATGGCTATCTGGCTGGCTTTAAATTTGAATACAGGTAGCCCTTGGTTTATGCCAATTCACAATAACGCCGCTGCACAATTCGCGATTTTGCTGTGTAATTCCCCGATTTTCCCTATGCCAGACTGATTTTTGTTTCGTTGTTGACGTATTTACAGAGCCGCAACATTGTACATTCGTTAAAACAAAGATTTTTATTGAATACATTTATTTTTTTTCTGTTTAATATTATTGGATATGTATACATTTGCATTAAATTAATATTAAAAGACTAAACGTTTAGGTACCCACAAGTCAAGTTATCAAACTTAATAGTCCAATAAATGGCGTCCGAATCCATAGCGCCAATGAATGTATCCAGTATCAATTCATTCAGGAAAACACCTTACGATGCAGTAGCACTTCCGGCGATCACAAACTATCGTTAGTGAGACAAATCTACTTCTCGTTGGCCAGACGATATCTATCTCTCCTTAATTTTCCTGCTCAAACTGACCTTACATATGCGCTACGGCAACCGGTGGTCGACCAATCAGTGTCTCTGCTCGTCCGTAGCTCTATGTCGGGTTAACTTATCCTTTAGACTATGAAAGTTTGACGGTTGAACTTTGTGAGTTAGACAATGATTGGAAGCGAAGTGCGAATGTAAAAAGGAGCATCGTCGCATCCGTTTGACCATATTCTGAAATTCTCAATGAAAGAAAACAAAAATGTAAACAATTAAAGATGGATACTTTTTTCGAAAAATGTAAGAGATCGGAAACTAAAATTTTTAATAAAAACATTTAACTTTATTTTATGATAAAATACATTTTAAAAATTAAATTTATTTCTACTTTGTATTATATTGTATTAATAAACAAAATTATTTGCGTATTTTTCACTTATGTGGAACCTAACCCTATACCTCAGTGTAAATATGGGTTCGTTTTACGCCGATTCAATTTGCGCCGGCTTTTGTAGGAACGGAACTGTGGCGTAAACCGAGGGCTACCTGTATCATGCTAAATACGTGAAAAATAAGTTAAATGTTTTTCTCTGAAGTATCTGCTAATTGACCTGTTTTTCTTATGTTACAGTTTGTTTAATTTGAACTTTGTTTATTTTTACATAATACCACCTTTCCATCCAAGAGACTAAATATTATGAAAACTTTTCTTTCTTAAGGGGTCCATTATTGCCAACACCTCCACGATTAAGTAAAGAAGAAAGGAGACATTTATTTGCTTTAGAAGTTCAGCAGAGAGATGAAGAAGCGTTAAGGCGTCAACAAGAACAGTCTTCTGTTGTTGAATACCAACAAGATACTCAGTATATTTATGATACATCATCATATCCTCAGTATTTTCAGATAAATCCTCCTTATGTTCAACCGATTCCTAATGTCCCAGGTATATTTTTTTTGTAAAATTTTTAAATAAATTATAATTAAAGTAAAAAAACTAAAGAAAAAATATTGTTCATAAACATAACTAAAATGATAATCAGTAATTATTAATTAAACTACTAACTTTTCTAATTATGTTTTTGTAGAATTGGTTTCTTGTATTTACTGTTTTGTTAGATTCTGTTCTGTTTAATTTCAGTCTTGGAGATATATAAGCAAAATGTTACCATTCTGTCTTCTATAGAAAGATCTTGCAGTTTATCCTAGGTTATTCTAGCAGTCTGATTCCATTTGTCCATTTATCACGTTGTCAACTTATGTTTCCTTAAACCTAGTTGAACATTATCAGTTCAATTATTTATATATATTACATGATCATGCAAATAGTCAATGAGATTTATAGATTATTGCTTCAAATCAGTAATTTACATTTATATTAAGTGATTTACCACTACTTTCTTACTATAAAGTAATTTCTTTTGTTTTCAATTGTTGTTAGATTCAGTTTAGTCCATTTCTTGGAGAAGGTATGAATGTTACAGCTAGAAAGATGTCTTTATCATTGTCTTTGATAATCCTAATTTTTGCTGTCAGTGAAATATCTTTTTATCTTTTGTAGTAGTTTCTGTCTGTAAATACATTTCTTCCTAGAATTATATCTTTATTATTTCTTCTCTGTACTATCTAGCGTGGTTTGTTAGGAACTATGAGAAATGAAAATAAAATTGTCTAAGATTCAATTGTTTCTCCAGCAATAGCATTACCAGAATGGAATTTTACTTAGCTTTCTTATAATACTTAGAATTATATCAAATTTTACATTAAATAAAAAAATAACCATAAAGAAGTTTACATTTAAATACAGTGGTACCTCAGGATACGAACGCCCCAGCATACGAAATTTTCAAGATACGACATGAAATTCGAACATATTTTTGCTTCACAATACGAACAAAATCTCACCATACGACGTTACATTAGTTCGCAGCGCCATTTTTTATTCACTCCTGTTCATTGGTCTCAGTCCGCGTGTTTGCTTCGTCGTGGAAAGATCTCGCTTGATAAAGGAAATCTTGAGGTATTTTCAGAAAGTGACTGATTTTATTGAAAAGAAACATCCCGAAAAGGTTCACACTGGCTGTATTGCTGCTCAGAGTAATAACATTTGCCTAAGTCATTTTAGAAACATTTAAAAAAGTAGGCAAAGCCAAACCTCTTTGGATAGATATTTTACCAAGCGACCTCTATGCAGTGAAAGTGCTGGTGGAAGTGAAGGAAAGAAAGCAAAAAGCAGTGAATAAAAAATAAAAAAATATATAAACACTAATTTTTTAACTTTTTTGTTTAAGTTATTGTTACATTATCTTATGTAAGTTAAGTTTAGTATCATTTCCCTTCTCCCTCTCCTCTGCCACAGGTTTACACCTCCACCATCGTCTATCTTCAAAGGTAAAGTGCAAATAAAACTACATATTTTTTTAATCAATTATTATTCTATTATGGCTATTTATGCATTTACAACTACAAAACGCATTTTTCAGTGATTTCCTTACTATAGTTATTTTTTAATGTACTACTTAGCTTTAATTTGAGTGTGTTTTTCGTGTTGGAACGAATTGTTTGGTTTTACATGTAATCATATGAAGAAAAATGATTCACCTTACGACATTTTCATGATACGATCTCAGTTTCGGAACGGATTAATTTCGTATCCTGAGGTACCACTGTATTTGTATAATGTAAAGTGAGATTACAATACTACCTTTATGAATTTTAACTTGTTTTTATCAATAAAAATTTTTAAATAAATACATTTATTAAGTATCAATTAAGAAAAACACAACAAATGTCATGAAATAGGAAATGTTTGACAGCTGTATGTCCATGTTATTCTGATGCAGCATTAATATGAATAATTATTCATTTTAACACTGAATCATAATTATCATGAATGCATTATAAATGATAAAAAGGAGTTTGATTTAAACACTCATAACCAAAAAAGCTCATTTGAACTGATGTGAACATTGATTAGTGTAGCCAAAATGTTTACTGTTGATGCATAATACATTAAGTACTTTATTTGTGATAGCTGCTGATTATTATTTTGGGATGAAAGTTTGATTCCATCAAATCTAAGATGTATCTGCATTTCATACAACCAAAAATGGATTAAAAAGCTGCATCTTAGAGACAAGAAAGTGCAGTATAATGTGCATTTAAAATTAAGATATTTCGTTTAAATATGCAACTGTTTTTTACAATTTTAATTTTCAGATAAATTCTGTGTTGCATTTCATAAAACTCCAAATAATAGTTTGAAATTCAAATAAACAAGATCTGAATATAAACTTATATATATATATATATTTGTGTGGGAGGCTATTAATGAATTATATAAAATTTTGATTAACAACTGTTGTTCCTATACAAACTATCTTTTATTTTAAAGATCCTCAGCTTCAGGTTTCGACAACAACTACATCACCTCCGCAAGCTTTAATCATACCAGAGACAACAACAGAACCTCCAATTGCTCCAATGCCTAGAACTCCTCTTCTTCCGACTCCTACTTTTATTGATTCTCAGCGTCATTGTCCTCAGCCACCTCTTCCAGCTACACCAGTATCTGTTCCCACGTCCTTTCCTGAACAGCCGGGCCCAGTTGTATATCCACCCAGTGGAATGGTATATCCTCCTCCTCCAGCAGCACAGGTAATAATAAAATTAAACAAATTAAAACAGAAATACATTATAGTAATACATAAAATTTGTTATCATAGCATGTTGTTTGTTGTTATTTTTTTCTATGTCAAAATAAAATTTAATGTAAATTGATTATTTTTCAGTTACCGTATGTCACTACTCCAACTGCTCCTTTACCTGCACCAGCACCCGCTCCTACACCTGCTCCAACTCCCATACCAGCTCCTGCTCCCGCTCCAGCCCCAGCACCCATTACCGTTCAGCCTGCTCCAACAATACCACCTCCATCTTACTTACCAAATCAGTCTCGCTTTATTGCGCAAGGACAGCAACTGTATTACGTTCAGCCTCCCCCTACAGTTCCAATTCCTGAACCACAACCGGTGTGTGAAAATATTTTAATTTTAAAATATTTATTATAATTTTCAGTTCAACTAAGTTGATATCATGTTGAATGTATTGCAGATTGCAGTGCCACAGCCAACAAATCATCCTTCAGTGCCTATTATACATATAGCGCCGGGTTCATCAATAATTGAAGAAAATCCTTATGTTCCTCCATCTCCACCAAAACCAAAACCCATAAAACTTCCACCTAATTGGAAAACTGCAAAAGATGCGGAAGGGAATATATATTATTATCATGCAATAACTAGGTATGTGTGAATATTTTTAGTCTAATTAGAAAATTTATATTATTTATATATTTATATGTTGCTTCCATTTCAATAAACTATTGCTGAAAAAAATCACAAAATTTATTATGAAATAGGTTGATGAAATGTAGAATATTTCTATATTATGTTTATTACAAGGTCTCCGAAAATAAATTTTACAATTTTAAATTGCTGTAATTATGTTAATTATTGTCTTAAGAAGTATGCGACAAACACCAATCAATAGAGTAATTGCATGAGTTTTGTTTTCCATCTGCATTCATATATGTTTTTGTCTACTGCCTCTATGAAGCATCATAAACAAAAATGGCAACCCTGAAACAGAGAAGGAATTTTATATTCTGCAGTTTACAAAGTCAGAATTGTGACTATTATGAGAGGAGTAACAATAGATATGCCATAGTGAGCATAGGAAAAGTTTGAGTATCAGTTGGATGTGTGCTGCACAACATCAGATACACACATTGAGAAAGTGTAATGGGCAAATGTGAAATTTGGATGGTTTTCTTTTAATGTACAATCTGACATTCTCAGATAATAATTAACTTAATTACAATAATTTAAAATGGTAACATTCTTTTTGGAAGATTTAGAAGGACATTGGGCTAAATTTACAAATATTAAATAGTTTAATTAATTATCCCTGTGATTTTTACAGAATTTATCATCATCTTAGAGTTGAATATATAAAAAGTATTAACAGTCCACAAAGATTTAAGTATGATGGCTGATATTACTCATAAACAGTTCTATGTTGTTAGTAATTTTATAGATCATTTAATCTGACTAGTTTTTAAAATGTAGAAGAAACATAGCATCATTATAATTGAATTATAATGATTTTATTCTATAAGGACCTTGAATAAGTTCTCGCTGTTTTTTTGTGAAAATTAACACTTTATTTAAAAAAAGTCGTAATAAACACGTCACTGAAAGTATTGTCCATCGCTAGCCACTACTTTCTCCCATCGTTCTGGCAGCATTTGAATTCCATGTCGGAAAAACGACACGTCTTTTGAGGCTATCCAAGAATCAACCCATTTTTTGGCATCTTCATAAGAATGGAAGTGCTGCTCAGCCAGGCCATGTGCCATCGATCGGAACAAGTGATAATCCGAAGGGGCGATGTCTGGTGAATACGGCGGGTGGGGTAGGACTTCCCATTTAAGCGTTTCCAAGTACGTTTTCACCGGTTGTGCAACATGTGGCCGAGCATTGTCATGTTGCAAAATCACTTTGTCGTGTCTCTGCTCATATAGCGGCCGTTTTTCCTTCAATGCTTGGCTCAAACGCATCAATTGTAGTCGATAGCGATCTCCCGTGATAGTTTCGTTTGGTTTGAGCAGCTCGTAATAAACTACACCTAGCTGATCCCACCAAATGCAGAGCAGAAGCTTCGAACCATGGATATTCGGCCTTGCTGACGATGTTGATGCATGACCGGGCTTACCCCACGATTTTCTACGCTTAGGGTTATCGTAGTGTATCCACTTTTCATCACCAGTCATGATACGATGCAGAAAACCTTTCCTTTTCTGCCGTTGAAGCAGCTGTTCACATGTGAAAAGACGCCGTTCGACATCTCTCGGCTTCAACTCGTACGGCACCCAATGTCCTTGCTTTTGAATCATTCCTAATCCTTTTAAACGTTTCGAAACTGTTGTGTGATCAACTCCTAATGATTCTGCAAGTTCAGCTAGCGTCTGACATGAGTCTTCACGAAGTAATGCCTCTAATTCCTTGTCTTGGTGCACCAGATCGTTCTTTATCTTCAACATCAAAATCATTATTTTTGAAGCGTCTAAACCAATCTCTGCATGTTGTTTCCGACAGAGCATGGTCGCCGTAAGTCTCAACAAGAATTCTGTGTGCTTCAGCTGCAGATTTTTTTTGAATAAAATAGTGCAATAAAATTCCCCGCAAACACTCTTTTTTTAGCACGAAACTAGACATGTTTAACACAATGAAAAAATAAGTTGTTTACACTTCGGTGAAATGATGTATACTGAATTTCAAGGTCGCTTATTGTACTTCCTTACAGATGTATCACCATCTAAAAATAAACACACGTGGTTCTGGTAACGCCATCTGTTGGAAAACAGCGAGAACTTATTCAAGGTCCTTATATATTTCTGACATTTGTTCTACAGAGACACTAAGTAAGCCACAAATAAATAGATCTAAATCATTATATTACTAAACAAAAAATCAAGCCAGATTTTTTATTGAGCTATATTTTAACTAATTAAATATACAAATGCTATGCAATTTAGCTTAAAAGTAGGCAATTAAGTTGCTATCCAATTATTAAATTTATCACCTATTCCTAGGCTAAATTACATAAAATTTGTATATGTAGTTTGATAAATCCCAGTTCAATTCATTAATTAATTATGTGATTTGGGCTTCTTTTCTGATATGACTACATCATTATCCTATGAAATTGGGAAAAGTAATTTATTGAGTTAATATTATTTTAAAAATTTACATTTTGAATTTTTGAATTTATATATATTTAAATTGAACAAAATATTCTTTTTGTAGACAAACTCAATGGGATCCTCCAACAGCCGATCAAGCAGATGAGGACATGGACTTGGGCACACCAACATACGACGAGCCTAAAGTTAGTATCGATTTTTAGAACTGAATTAAAACTTCAGAATTAATTCTTTGGGTATAAACTGAAAAATATAGAGCTTGTAATGTATTTAAATAAAATGTGTATAAATACTATTGATCCTTGATATAAAAAGCTAATAGGAAAAAGTAATGACCTGGCAAAGTTCATTGTATTTAAAAAGTTTATGGTCAACTTCAAAATAAGCTTTAGCTCTTTTATCAAATCTTGTATGATTAGACTATATTATTATAAATATGAATGAAACAAACATCATACATCCAGATGAGACATAAATAATAACTGCTGACATACTGGATACTCCACACTTTAACAGTTGCGGTCTATGTTCGGATACTGTATTTCCACTCCAACAAATGCTTTGAATAAGTAGATTTCATCTAATCAAGAGTGAACAGTTATATGTATATAGTAAATATTTTAAATGCAATTTATTTAAATATATCTTGACAAATATTTTGGATAAGAATGAATATAGCTAGTTTTTAAATCTTACTTAGATGAAATTATCTAATTTAATAAAGTTTTGGAAGAACATATAATGCTGCAGAAAAATTGCAAGTAAATGTTTGTGAATTATTTTATTGTATAATCTTAAAAAATGTTAGTATAATAATTGTTTGTAGATATAATTACAAGTGAAGTACGTAAACCATATCCTCAAATTATCTAATTTTTATGAAGTCGTTTGAAGAATAAATAAACCTACTGTTTTTACTCAAATATAAGATGCACTTTTTTCAGGTTTTAGTATCTTCGAAAATAGGTTGTGTCTTAGATTTGATGGCATCTTAGATTGTAATAAATCATAACCTCTGGTGTCATATTTCTGTTGCTAGAAGTCAGTAATTGTATCATTTTAATGATTATTGATTTTATTAGACCAATATTTATATTAGTCTGATATTAGTATTTAAGGAGTCAACTTAACTAAATCTTGAGTTGTACTATTACAATAACTTCATAAATATTTGGATGAAAATCCCAGAAAAATTAATGCACTGCTCTTTCGAGAAATGTTGCATTTCCAATGCTTTAGACAGTACATAAAATGATTGTGTGTGGAATGATGTTTGAAGTTGAAACCAATGTTGATTCAGAAGAACCTAACCTGCAAAATGAAAAGGTTTCCAACTTCGACACCACGTAAGATAGCAATGTATAACTTACTTCATTGTGCAATAAATACTAAACAAATTTATGTCTACAAAATCAGTTTTGTTGTCATAAATTTATCTTAAGTTATCCACTTTTCAAAAAAAAAAAAAAAATCAATGAACAAGCATGTAGAAGTTAAGGTGCATCTTAAATCTGAGTAAATACAGCAAATAATAGTTTTTAAAATTTCAAATAATTAAACTGGCACCTTTATTTTTCTTACAGTAATGTTTAGAAAACTTTTTATTAACATTTTGTAAAATTTATCTAATTCTCTTATACGTTGCTGTACTTAATTAATTGTACCTCTTAATTGTAATTGAACCTCTTAAATCAATTTATTGATAAAATTTTGTTAGGTTTTGTCAAAGGAGTTAAAAAATACTATTATAATTAAGTCATTTTGAAAAATATTCTTATTTTCAAAACAATTTGGTTTTTAAGGTAATTTCTGAATGGTTTCCACTTTCCAAATTCTGTTTTTAAATGATCTGTTTGAAGTATTAATATAAAAGTTTGGAATTTAAACCTGTCATTTTGGAAAATTAATTTGATAATCCAAACCATTTAAAAAGTTTCTTTAAAAATCAGATGAGAATTCTACAGTGTGTTGTGGTTACAAACTTTTCAGAGGTTATATAGATATTTACAATTGTTTCCTTCAATGTTTAAAACTGATATCAGAATCTTGAACTGTGGTTGTTAAAGGATAGTCTGGTGGTATGTGGACTATATTTTGAGCCACTCTAATCATATCTACCAGGTTGTCCACAGGCCTACCTATTCAGTTTTCCAAAATGCAACTCCATGCTGTTTAGCCAGAGAAAAGAACATTTCATGCATTACATATTTCTTATTTCTTCTTAGTTGTTTATTAGGTAAACAACTAGACAATATTTTGGTATGCAATCTAGCATTATTTAAAGTGATATTTACAACATATGAAGTGATGAGGGCACATATCTGTAGTTCATTTAATGCAATTTAAGTAATCCACAGAATGATAGCTTTGAGACCCATTTGTCTAGAGGATGTATGATATTGCTGTAAAAAAGCACGTGATTTATAATATACACCATTGTATACTTTCCATTACAGCCACAAGTATATGTATTGAAAATAACTAGTTAAAATAATATTGTGTGACATTTAAGATGAAGCCCAATAAAATTTTATTGGTAAATTTGATTTATTTTTTATTTTTAAAATGCTATTTTGATTAGAATTTTCAATCTTTCATTTTATTGGGTGTATCTTTGATCTTTATTACTTCATATTAAATGATCTTTATAAAAAGCTTTTGCCTGAAAAATATTCTACAAATAAAAAGTAAAATATTATAAGCAAAATGTAAATTAATGATGGAAATTTCTTATTTTTAAAATTTTGTATTGCTTGAGAAATCTGATGATTTCTTTTTATCAGCAGTCTAAGAAGAAAGGAACCACAACAGCTGCGGCCGACACGTCAAGTGAAGTGGCGAAGAAGATCAGAGAACTTTTTAGAACTAAAATGTCAACTTTCATCGTTCAATGTTTGAATCCTTATAGGAAACCAGACTGTAAAGTTGGAAGAATTGCTAGTACAGAAGATTTTAAGCATTTGGCCAGAAAGGTACAGAAAGTAAACTTTAGCCTTTTCTCATTATAAATCAAAATATGTTGAAGTCCGAATTAGTTGCCAGACAAGCTTGAACTACCAAATTATGTTGAGGCTAATTTATCAAAATTTGGTCCAAAAATAATCTGTTATACTGCCATTTGTTTACAAGATTGCAACATAATAATTACCCCTAAACCAAATTTTCGTAATTAATTAAATTACCCTAATGTAGCTCAAAAAATAATCTGGAAACATATTAAATTTGTTTGTTCAGCTATTTTCATTAAATTCAAATATTCAGTTAGATAAATACTTATCAAAGTGTGACAAATAAGAATAATCAAATATTCAGATTTAGTAAACTGTAACAATATTTACTGTTTGCTGTTGACCTCTCTCTTCTTATTTGCAATATATTAAATATTACATGTTTAGTTAATATGAAATGATAAATCCTGTGTAAATTCTAATCCAACTTTAGCTAATTTAATGTATGTCTAAATATATTATAGTTTGTATGATCATTTATTTGTACATAAAATTTTTTTAATTGATTTGTTAGTTACCTCTAATGAAAAGAAGGTTTACAGAACATTTATAGGCAAAACTGGCCCTATGCAATGTTTAAAATGTTGCATAGGACCAGTTGCATGTGTTTTAATCTCAGGGTTAAATGCACTTTAATCTTTAGAATTGCCTATGAAGTTGTTAACCAGCTGAGTTTGGGCGGTTAAAATTTATTTTGTAGATTAGCGATGAAATGACATAGCTGACCAGCTGTGATTCCAACATGTGTAACCTTTATGTAGGTTATTTCAATGAAGTTTATCACAATATTGGCAGAATGTTTTTAAAAAAGATTGAATCCTGTAATATTGTACAGTGATTGTAGATTTTGAGACTTGATTTTGAATTAATAAGTTATATTTTTACATTTTCAGTTGAACCTAACATAATTAATCATTTCTTGTTATAAAGTACACATATATGTGTTAAAGTATTGTAGGTGCTATCTACTAAATCTATTAATATATATTTTTATCTACACTCCAATCTATTCTTACTTTGTTCTTCCATTTATTTATCATTACTCTTGGTATAATGACTGAACAGTAAGAATTTTTCAAGTAACTGGCTTCTAAATATCTGTTGAGTCAAAGTAACTCTTGCAACAAGCATAGCTCATTCTATAGATTAGTGACAGGTTAGATAATTATTCTGTAGTTTAAACTGTAACTTGTGCAACTGGCCCTTAGGTCCTTACTTTATATTGTATGATTTTTATGATGATCTGTCCCTGATGGTGTGACATGTTTAATGTGATGTTTGTAGTTTTTAGAATTGTTTTGTACACTATGACTTTGATTCATGGAGGATACTACTTATCTAGATGGTGAGACATTCTCATTTTGGCTGATAGATACTTAGGCAAATAAAATCTTGCAGTATCAATCATAAGTTAGTAATAAGATTTTCATTATTTGTGATGCATCTTTAGTTTTTGATGCAAACAGAATTTATAAGTAAAATCATTTAAGCATAAATTATATTAATTCTTCTTTTTCTGTTTCAGTTGACTCATTTTGTGATGGCCAAAGAGTTGAAGCACTGCAAGAATGTTGAAGATCTAGAATGTAATGAAAACGTCAAACACAAAGCAAAAGATTTTATTCACAAGTACATGGCTAAGTTTGGTTCTGTTTATAGAAAAGATGATTAAGGGAACGTACAGGTTGTAAATTATTATTTTTCCCCGTGCAAAACAACAATTATTGCCAGCGGAGCTAACCGAATCCCTGCCAAGCATAGTTTTGATCGAAAACAAATTCGATGGTGGTAAATGATTCTGCTCATAAGATGAACTGAAAAATAAAATAATTAAAAGGAAAATGGAAGCATCTCTTGACTTGGCTGCTTCTAAATAACTTGTAGCCCATACTCTATCATTTCATTATTTAGTATGTCGTGTTCTACAGTGAGAAGAATTTACAGACGGAAGTGTTTCATTGGTAGAGAGCGATGACGAAGTTAAAAGCATGATCATTCATTTCAAGTGCTATTGTTAATATGCTTCATTTGTGTGAACATGGTTGTAAATAAACATGAATTTCACACTTTTTAATCCGTACGTTAATTTGTTTTCTTTCCCTCTGGATATTCTACATGCGCTAAGTAAGAATTACCGATAAGATTTTTCTATGGAATGGCAACGAAATTGTCTTCATAAATTTTCTTATTCGAAACAGATCAGATGACTTATTTTCTAGTAAATTTTTTATGTGATTCAATTTTAAATACTGTGTACATTTCTGTGAAGAAAGAAAATAGAGAAAACTGTTCAGAAAATCTGAACGAATAAATTTAGAAGTTTTTTTCTAAATTGAAGATATTTTGTTTATATTTTTCTCTCTCCCACCCTATACAAAAGTATACCAGACTATATATTTTTCATTAGCTCTGGATTAAAATAATACACTTGACACAACTTGTACATCCATATTTACAAGCACATTTTACATGAAAACACTAATTAATCCTGTCAAATTAATTGGAATAATTTTAAATTGTTTGTTCATTTAACACACTTACGTGAAAAAGAGGAAATCATTATCCTTGCCAAATCTTTTGTTAATTTTTTGACCTTACATAAACATGGCCTAATTTCTTGCATCTAAAATTTGTCCGGATCACGTCAAGTAATATAATTTCTTCCAAATGAACTTGTATACATTTGTGAATGTATACATTCGAAAAATGTATTTAATAGTTAGGTATCTTTGATTTTAGACTTGCATTCAAATGAAAATTAAAGAACATTTTTTACAATTTACCTACAAAACTATACAGTATCAAAATAATATTAGATTCGACATGAAAATCGTAGTTTGAATTTGCCATTTTTAGTGTTTTTATCTTAGTAATTACACATTTACTTTTATAAGTTTATTAATCACCAAATTTTATACATAATTCATTTAAATTTAGCTTATCATTTATTTGTTTAATGACTAATTTTTGTGATATAAACACATTTTGGATATTTAGGGAGAGAATTGTAATAATTTAAGGTTTCAGCATTGATGATGACGAATTAACAAATTAGAATGAAGCACAATAATCCAGTGCGTCCGATAATTTGGTTAGTGCAGCATGAGCAGAATTTTTGTGCTAAACCAACCAATCATTAACCTGGCACTTTGAAAAGTAAATGATAACATGCGCTTCTTGTACTTGGAACATGTGTAGCTATTGTAAACTGAATATATATACAACACATGACTTGAAAGTAATTACAGTATGCACACATGAATCATTGCAAATGTTGATCTTGAGCAATAATGTGTTCATTAATATTTTGTAGGTTTTTGAATCAATCTTAACAGTATTGCCATATCACATTCAATTTCAGATTGATTAAAAAGTGGTCATAAACAAAAATTGGAAGCATACAGCAACAGGTACATGCAATAGTACAAAATGTCCAGCAATGTAACTATATTCTTAATTTTGAATATATATTATATCATTCTAATGTTGCTGTAAGCTAATGATGATTAAATATTTGGCCGAAAACATTTCTTTTAGTAGAAATGTTTACTGTTTGAATTAAGCACATATTATGGATTTATCTATCAAGACAGTAACAAGTTTTCTGAATTCTGGTGGTGATGACAACGATTTTTACATTATCAATATCATAAAAACAGATTTATTACCTTATTACCACAATTATACAAATATTCACAAATCATTTCAAAAATTAAGAACAGAAACACACAGTTAAGGCTTACAACTTGTTAATTATTCTGCTATTGTGATGGTGATAATGATTTATTAAACTTACATTACTTAGACTTACTGATAAACAATTATTAGGCATTGTGAATTTATATAAATCATTATAAGCAACAATAATAGACTTACACATACTTTCTGAAGTTTTTCCTATAATTATATGAGAATTGCTTCATATCCAAAATTTATAGAAACATGTTCAAATTGTTCAGTAACATCCACCAAATCAAAATTTGTGGATTTATAAAGTAATTGAAAAGTACATAATTAATCAATATTAAATAAAATTTGTGAATAATCAATAATGTATTGAACATTTGAACACCCCTGTTGAAATTTGAACCATTTTAATCAGTAATGTTATTTCCAAACTAGGATCAGTCATGTAAAGTTATAAAGATGATGATCATCCTTACAACTTTATATGACTTGTTCTTTACAATGATGATGTTCTTCATTGCAATTTAATCAGTCCAGCAAGGACAAGTGGAACAAAAATGGGCTGATTAAATTGCATGATGATGATAGACTGATTAAGTCTTACAGTTTAATTAATAAAAGATGGAGGAGGTTATCAATCATAATCATTACAATATAATTTGTTTTTGTCATCTATTCTTAATTGTTTGACTTTCCTAATTACTTTTAGATTCGTTTAAGAACCTGAGTGGTGTAGCAACTGTTAAGACTTCTATTCAAGTTTAAGTGCAACCTTCAACTTCATAAATACCTCAATTTTTTTACTGCAAAATTTACTGTTCCAGTTGCAATTTGTATGTTGAGGTTTGAGACACACCATTATTTTAAACCACCTCTTTAGGTATTTATGAAGCTTTAATAGAGAATATACCATAACAGTAAGGCTTGTAGGATTGCACAGTTCAAAATTACCAAAAAAATCCTGTCAGGACACCACAGTTAAAAAGTAAATGTTTAAGTTTTAACCAACAGACTTCATAAAACAATGATCTGTTTCTTTCCTAACAATTTTATGGTGCTAATTTTTTGACAAAGGACTACAGTTTTAGCATACCAAAAAAAAATCAGCTCTACAATGACATCATCATCATACCATTTCATGTTTATCTCATCCAATTATTAACATCTTTCTGCATTCCAACAATACTTTATCATCTAAAAAAATACAGTAGCCATCTTTGTATTGTACTTATAGAATAACACGTAAAGAGCCATTTCTATAACAGTAATAATTGTTTTCCTTTCCACAGATGACACTGATGACGAAAGCAAAAATGTGCATGTGATTTGGCCCGTCGAGAACAAAGATACTGTATGTAGGTTAGTGTCAAAGTCCTGAATAGAAAACCGCGAGAAATCAATATACAGGTGTTTTTTTTTTTACTTAGTATCAGTGAAGGAAGGACGTCCAGCACACCTGGCAAACCAGGATAACCTCTTCTTAACACTGGCTCCTGCCTTGTATGTGGGTAGTCGAACGAGGGCACTGCCCTTGAAACTACTTTAAAACCATATTAGAAACAACAAAAGTTCAATTTTTTTTTATTCTTGTTCTTTCTTGTCTCTTCCTTTCTTTAAAAATGTCAGAGTTGAATGGAAAGATGGCTAATTAACATGATGTGTCATTGGCATCGACTGTTTCCATACATTCCAAACTGGTTCCAAAGTGGGGAAAGTAACTAACTGGTGCCATTTTCTCGAAATTTGCTATTTAATTACTGCTGATTTTTTTTCCTCTTCTATTTTCTGCCGATTCCGTGTTTTATAAGAGGAGAAATCTGGACGTTACGTTGATAAGAAATTCCCTTTATTTTTTCAAGTTTTAGAATTGAAATTTCTTTGAAAAATCGTGTAAAAAAAAAATGGTAGAAGGAAACGCTTCGTTAAATTCTAGAGAAAATGTCATTTTAAAATTGTTTTTATCATTTTTCTTTCCTTGTGTAATGTATAAACTGCTGCCCCTGTACAAACAAATGCATGAATTGTTTCTGCTGTGTTGGTTTTGTAACTTAAACTGTTGTTATGGAGCTGTAGATGTGTTATAGACTTGAATTTTGGTGTTTTATAAATTATATAAAAAAAAAAAACTTAATTAAATTAACTTTATACTAATTATGCCCTCTTTTTATACAAGTCGATTATCTACTGTAAAATCGTTGGGGAAATTTGATTGATTACAACTGATATAAAAAATATGAACAAGATATTAATTTCCCTACATACGTTATCTAGAATTTTTGGTATGTAGGGAAATTCTACCGAATTTTTAATAATTTCCCGAAACGTTAATAAAGTCCTCTAAAGGGCATTTAATAAAATTTTTAACTTTTCGGACATATTTAGGAAAAATATTTCTGTTGCTAAGTTTCTTTAAATTTCCCTAAATTCAATAGTAAGGAAGTTTCATAAGCTAAAGCATTTTTTTTATAATGCTTAATAAAGACATTAAAGTATACGGACGATCTGTTAACGATTATCGGAAGATAGGGAATTTTTGTCTGAATTTCTAAACAAAAAATATTTGCAAGGAAACACAAATCTTTAAATGTCTCTTATTAATTTAATATAATTTTTATATTTTTAAAAAGTTTACTTTCTCGAAAGTAAAGAGAGTGTTAATTTAGGGAATATTTATGTTTAGGGAAATTTTATTTATTATTATTATTATTAGATTAAAATTCTGAAAAATTTCTCATATTAGGGATCTTTTTAAATATCACAAAAGATCGTTCTCAAATAATTTAAGGAAACTACTAAATTTAATTTTAAAAATTTCCTGTAATTTCCCTAAATGCTAAAAAATTTCGGTATTTAGGTATAATAAAACTTTCTGAATATAAGAATCGTTTAGGAGTTTCTTAAAAATGTTTTTTGTCGCTGTTTACTGGCTTTATTCTTTATTTTTTTTTCCACAAAGTTGTAAATGTATCAGGTTATGAAATAGGATGAAGTTACAAAATCTCTATAGCAAATGGTCTTTACACCGCTAATGGATTTTGCAACTGACACGAGTGCAACCTTTTAAAACAGTTGCGTGGCAATGGGTTCACGGAAGTAGCACGATCTCTTTTACTTGTACTTGACGACCGGATAATGATATAAGTAGAATTCAAAATACAGAAAAATTTTCAGTTTTTTCTCACTCAATTTCTAAATTTTTTACCCCAAATTTCCCCAAATGTCGAAGAGAGAAAACTGCATTGGAATTCAACAATGTTTGATAGCATTTACATATAGAATTACTCTTACACTTTGCTTAATTACCTTTATGAAGGTCATCGAATTCCATTTGTAATTAAAACTTTTATCATCTGATGGACTTTTGCCTCCCTTTTGTATTGTTTTAACAATAGAATTAAAATATTTCAAAGTATCAATGTGTTAACCACTCGTAAAAAATAGCTTCCTGAATACTTTTTCTTGTATAAAAATTGTTTAAAATTTCATTTTATTTCCTCTTCTTTATTATTAAATTTGTTTTCATAACATGATGCACGAGGAAGTTGTAAAAATTCGTAGCATAGAAAATGCGGTTGTTGATATTTTCTGTCAAAATATCTCATAAAGTTTTCTGGCAAGTTACATTGAAAAAAACCGATCATGAAT